CAGCACTAGTGTTACTTGTACCCCATGGGTATCTGTTTAGGGTATGTCCCTCCCAGCTGGAATGTAAGTGTCTCCATTCTACCTAACACCGGGCCCAGTGTGCAGCCCAGACACCTTCATGGTATGAGAATGTCCACGTTTGTAATTCTGCATTTGCCATACTGAGCAAGATATCAAAAATTTTATGACAAAATGCATATAAGCTTCTGACAGTTCAGCCTCAAAGCAAAGTGTATGAGCCACCTTAATGACCCTAATTTAGAGTTGAGATTCTATAATTTCCTCTTTTTTAAAATCTTTTTTGAAGTTTTGGAAATCAATAAACCAGCCTTTTCCACCCCCATCCCTGCCCCAACAAATTCCTAAACCTGCAGGCAGAATTCGAATCCCAATACCTTCACTTCCTAACCATACACTTGGCAAATTATTTGATCTTCTTTGCTTCAGTTCCCTCAAGTGTAGAACAGGAAGTAAATAATATCAATATATATCCACTTCATTGAATTATCTTGAACAATAAACCAGCAAGTAAACATGAACTTTTAGGGACCAGCGTTGCAGCACAGCAAGTTAAGCCACTGCCTGCGACGCCAGCATCCCATAGCCGGAGCCAGTTGGAGGCCTGGTGGCTCTGCTTCCAATCCAGCTCCCTGCTAATGTGGCTGGGAAAGCAATGGAAGACTGGGCCCCCGCCACCCCTGTGGGAGACCCAGGAGTTCAGGCTTCTGGCTTCAGCCTGGCCCCACCCTGGCTGCTGCAATCATTGAGGGAGTGAACCGGTGAATGGAAGATATCTTTCTCTCTGTCCCTCTTTTTCTGTCACTCTGTCTTTAAAAATAAATAAATAAAAATAAATCTTAAAAATATATAGAAGAGCACTTGGCATCAAGTGTGGCTATTATTCATAATACCTTTCCCATCCAGCCAACCTTAGCAAGTTATTGATAATGGACACAAGAAGAAGAGAAGAGAGGAGAAGGAAGAAGCATGTGGGAATTCTATCACCAATGAGGGAGAAGTAAAATACAGGTTTAACACAAATGATCATGACCTAAAACCTTCTGCCCAAAACATCCAAGTGGCAAAGTTCCTTTCTATGCAGAATGACCCAATGTGAGCCCAGGTTACCACGTAGTTATCCTCATCTGGAAAACGGACATGCTCATACTATACAGAAGTGCAAGTTCTCTGTCACGCTCTCCACAGAACTTTCTCTGATGATGGGAATGCTTCTCACGCTGTCCAGGACGAAAGCCCAGAGGCACACCTGGCTACTGAGCATCTGTGATGTGGCCAGTGGGCTATGGAAGTGAATTTTTCATTTTGATCGTTTTACGTTTAAACAGCCACACACGACTAATGGCTGCCCAACGGGACAGCCCTGCACCAAGGGGATCTGATGTGCCACCTGCTTGATTTGGTTCTTGCCTGCTCCCCGGCTCCTCGCCCCAGAAATCAACCCCCATGAGGCCATCCTGCAGTCGCACACCCCCATGGCTCTGCTTACACTGGCCCCTCTGAAATGCCCTTCCTCCCCATCCTTCCCCAGTCCCCACCAAAATCCTGTTCAGACTTCCTCAGGACCACCGGCCCTAACCCGCCTGCTGACACGCTCTACTGGTGAGGCCAAGGCCACTTGGGCTGGGCTCCGGCACGCTACCTGTCCTGTGCTTCTCTGACCATGTCTCTGTTGTGGCTGCCATCATCCCCTAGTTATAATGTGTTCTCTGCCACACAGACTGTGAGAATTTTGCGACCAAGTCTTCATCCTAGCAATGCGTTTCCATCACATAATATACGTAAATATTTGCTGATTGCATTACTGATTTTTAAATGCACCTGTTTTATTAAATAATTTGTGGAGCACTGATGGGCGCTCTAGGAAACAGTGCAGCTCAAGGCAAATTTTCACATCAGAAATGCTTCTCCAAGTATCGGCTGAGGCCTGCTTATTCCAACCGTATCAACATAACACTGCAGTCCAAACCAAATCCTACTACAGTTGCTCCTTGTGAGTGAGCTGTGGGTCTCGTAGGTTCCAGAAACTTGATGTGCACTGGTTCATTTTTTAATCGCAATGTGCTACCACCTTTACTTTGAATTCCCACAGAAGCGTTCCTACAATTAGAGTAAGTTTCTTGAGAAATACATTTCTGTGAACCCAATTTGTACAGATATTTCCCAAGTTCCAAATATCCGATTAGGATGCAAGTATCTTACAAATGATGGTCTTTCCTGCCTACCAGGGGCTTACCACTCAACAACGCAAACAAAGAAATACCCAGTGAGCAGAAACACACTGTGGGCACCGCCATGGCAGGAGGCCCTGAAGAAAACACATCCCAGGAAGAACATGAGTCCAAAGGGCTTCATCTTCAGAGCAAAGATGGATTTAACTTTTCTTACTAATTGTGCAATTTCGTTTATTTTAAAATGCACAAACAGCACTTTTTAATGTAATAAACATCGATTTAATCAATGAATGCATTCTTTACGGCTGTATGATCACCTCGATAAATCTCTAATTTCCCTATAATATTCATAGATTTTGAAGTCTTTTTTCCCTGGTTCCCGCTCCCCTTGAACAACATATCGCTCAGATAAAGATGTTTCAAAAAAGACAAAGGCCCAAGATACCTGTGAGGGCTTCTAAGGAGTGATGTGACACAGTATCTACCCAAAGATGTCCTAAATTGAAATGAAAAGCTATCAATTTATCTCTTCAACTTCCTTATAAGAAAAAAAGGCCCATCTAGGAAGAATGCTGATTAAGTCTAGAAATTAGGTTCTATGTGTTATTGGAACTATCTACGATTTCTACTGAGAGGCACTATTTTCAGAATGCATCTACTGCTACTTAGAAAACAAAGAGCTGGTTTGCAAATATCATGTTTTTAGCTTAAAAATAAAACCTTAAGGCTGTCAAGATTTGTGCGGCTGGCATGCCATCTATCTCAGTAATACCCAACGAGGAAGTCAAACGGACAGGAGCGGCCGTGGTCCGCGGGTGTGCGCCGGAACAGTGATTGCTGTATTTTGGGTGATGGGGTACAGCATTTCAATTAGCTCAAATGAAATACAATGTCCTGCCAGCTCCAGGTAGCAGCGTATTCAATCCCCTGCTGTGCTGCGTCCATTTCCATCGCTGCAATTAAACATCAGTCGATACAAAGTCACAGCGCGGTACCTTCCTCCCCTGCCACTGTTTCCAGCATCACCGGAAGAGCGAGTCACCATGGTAACCAATCCCTCCGCGCACAGACAAGTCAACCTCTCCAGCCCGACTGCCAGGCAGGGCGCACGGAATCCAAGCCCCATCGGCGCCAGCAGCAGCCAGGGGGCCCAGCCCCTTTCCCCGAGTGGGGTTGGCCAGTTCCAGACAGAAGGGCCCCTGGTCTTGTTCTAGCAGGCATCCAGAGAGGGGAATTGGGGAAGGTCCTCCAGGGAGCCCCGCGGTGCGTGCCAGTCACTGCTAACAAGGACTGTCCCCCCACATTTCACTGTTAGCATGGGCTATCCCCCCACTAAAACGATGGATAAAATAACGCCGTATGGATCTGAGAATCGGGAAACTCATAAAGCCACCCATTGTCAAAGACTATCTCACTTCAAAAAAAAATTTTAATAACTATTTTACTTCCTCTTGTTTTCCAACTTCTCCATTCAAATGGAGTTGCTGTCTTCTGGAATCCCCTGGTATCCTATACATCTTCACAAAGTTGAAGCCCTCCAAATGGGTCACCTTGCTCTGATCACAATCTAACCGAGAGACAGACAGAATGTTTGTAGCATGAACACACCCATAGCTCCATCACCTAAAAATCCCTAGTCATGCCAAAGAAGCCACAACACAATACTAAGATGGATTCTCTCTCTGGCCCTACCTCACCTAAATCTGAACTGGCCACCTAGGCCGTGTCCACTGCTTGTCATTCTTAATTAACATTTTTTCAAATCATTTTTCTGCTCAGTTTTAAGCCATTGCAAATTGAGGAATAGCACCAGTTGGCACAAACACTATTCCAAAAACAGCATTATCAGAGACACAAACAGCTGCCTCAAAGCACTTTGCAAGTAGCAGCACCATTGTCCCCTTGGTATCATTCAATAGTTGAAGAGACAGAAACACAGGTGGAGGGGAAACCGGGTGGTAAAATCCACACCTTCCCAGCACGCACACAGCAAGGATCACACACCCCCGTCTTTGGGGCAGTGTTCACACACATGCACCCGATGTTTCAGCGGAACGGTGGGCCAATTGCTTCCTAAGGTAAAGTCGCAAATCTAATTGCTTCAAAATAGCAGCATTTTTTTTCAACGTAGGTGATCATATTAAATGTCAAATATTTATAATCAGCAAATGCACCTTGCTTCCTGTTGCAGTTTACGTCGTCTGTGTTTTTAAATATAAACCTGAAAATCGCATTTTTTTTCCTCTGAAATACCCATTTAGGAGTTCCCCCAGAAAGTAATTTTTTGTGCTTAGTAGCTCCTACTGCCAGTGCACACAGGTCACTTTGGTCCACCACTTTCTCAAAGCGGAAATAAACGGCGCTATGCTGCTGCCGCCCGCCAGGCTCGGGGCTGCTGCAGGCAGGGGCTGCGAGGTGTGGACGCTGCTGATGCCTGGTGTACTACGGCACTCGGCCAGCGGCGCCGCTGGGAACAAGGCCTCCCCTTGGGCGCTGTGTCCCCCAGCGTCCCTGACCCGGGGAGTTCAGCATCCGAAACCAAGCCTGGGAGCCTGGCTGCCTCTGACACCGCCCTAGAGAGCACGTTCCGATTTCCCGGCCCTCGGAGAGCTGATGAGCACTATCCTGGGGGAGGGGAGGGTGGGAGTCCCGGAGCAAGGGATTCCGCGCGGGTCCACACAGACCAGCGCGAGCCAGATTAGGCAGCCAGTTAAGCCTCCAGCACGCTCCCCGGCCAGCGGCTGGGCGGAGAGCTCCGGCCACTCGGAGGCCGGGCCGGCGGGGCCTCGCGCCGCGCCTCGCGCTTACCTTTCCGGATGAGCGCGGCGATCTCGGGGTCGAAGCCCGGCCGGTGGCACTTCCTCCAGAGGCCCATGTTGGTGGAGTTGTACTGCCGGCTGCACTCGTCCGCGGGGCTCATGGCGAAGAGCTGCCGGCGGTTCCGGGCCCGCAGGAGCTTGCCCTCCCAGCGGTCCAGCCGCGAGCGGCTCGCGCGGAGCGGCAAGTTGTTGTTGTTGTTGTAGATGAAGCCAGGGTCGACCCGGCGGGTGTTGAAGGCCTTGCACCTGTCCCTGTGCTTCCTGGCGTCCGTCTCGTACCAGTGGTCGGAGCAGATGGCCACGGCCAGCATGCCGAGGGCGCAGAGCGCTAGCGAGAGGCCCGTGTAGAGCAGCAACCTTCCGGCAGCCATGCCTCCGCTCGGCCGCTACACCATGGGCATGCTCCGCCGCAGCTCGCCTTCCCTCGGCGCGCCCGAACAAAGCGGCGGGCGGGCGGCCGAGCTGGGGGGTGGGGACGGCGGGGGCACTCGCGCCGCGGCGCCCCCTCGGCCCCCGCCTACCCGTGCGGGGATGCGCGCGGGCGGCCTACGAAGTTCTGACCCGCGGAGGCCCCGGCGGGCTCCTGGGCATCCTCCGAGGCAGGTGCAGCCTCCGGCGGGCGGCGGCCAAGGCTACCCAGCCGGCTCCCGCCCCCTCCCCGCCCCGATCCGGGCGCCGCTGCCTGCGGCCGGAAACTAAACACCAGGCGCCCTGGGCTGCGGCGGGGCTTGCGGGGGTTTCTTTGTGCGCGGCGGCGACTGCACCGTCTCTCCTGGCTCGCCGCGCCGCTCGACGGCAGGGCGACCTGAAGCCGCCCGGATGCAGGGGGCTGGCGAGGGTGCCCGCGGATGCCGGGGCCGGCTGCCCCGAGTCCCGCCTGCGTCGCCCGCTCAGGGGCTCCCCGCCGTCCGGTCTGCGAGTGGAGGCCAGGGACGCGCACCCAGAAACGTTCTTCCTCCCAGGGCCGGATCTTCTAAGCAGTCCGCGTCCTCGGGCGACCGGCAGGTCCCTCGCTCCGTCCGGCCCACGCGCTGCGCTCAGAGGAGGGCTCCCCCCGGCCGCACGGCCGCCGCCGACCTTTCCCTGGGCTCTCCCCGGCCGCCTGCTGCTGGGCGCCCCATTCAGGCGGCCCCGCGGGCCGGCGGCGCGCTCACCCGGGAGGCGCTACGGGATTCAGTCCCGGCCGGAGGTCTGCGGAGAATGGGCCGCAGCTGGCGCGTGCGAGGGGCGGGCTGCGCCGAGGGAGGCGCACCCGGCAGGGCGCGCGGCGCGGGGCGCTCGGGGCACCGCGCCTTCAACACCATGGACAGGGCGCGCCGTCGCCGCGCGCCGCCGGCCACGCAGCCAGGGCCCCCCGCGTCCTGCCGCTCTCTCTAGCGCCGTCTGGCTCCACGAGGGTCCTCTCCGCAGGCTCCAGACCCGCCTCCGCCGCCCGCCGCCCCGGGAGCGTTCGGCCCAGGTGCAAAGAAAACGCTGCAGACGCTGAGAGGGAGCCCGGGCCCCGCAGAACAACCCGCCCCCTGCTCCCGCCACCTGCGCCGGCTCTGCCCTGCCCAGCTAGGGTCAGCCGCTCTCGGACTGCACCAGGGTCTTCGCAGCACACCCGGGCGCCGAGACGCCGGCTCGGTCTGCAGCGTGCGGAGAATCTCGTGCCGGCCCCGGCGTCCCACGGTCCGGCGCCCGGCGCGCGGTGGTCGCCGAGGCGAACGGGGCGAGAGTGGGGGAGGGAGGCTGGGTGGCCCCGCTTCCTTCTCCTCCCCGCCGCCGCGGCCCCAAGGCCTCGCGGGCTCGGCCGCTTTCTGGGAAGAGCGAGAGCCCGGCCTGCGCCCGGGGGGAGGCTCCAGAAATCTCACCGCCCGGGTGCGGGCGCCGGAGGAAGCCGCTACCGCGCGCGCTCGCTCGCTCGCTCGGGCGCCGGGCGCTGCAGCCTTGGCTAAAACCCACAGACGAGAACACGGAGCGCGCAGCCAAAAGCTAGTGATGTCATCCGTGCAACGTGAGCCTCATCGCTTATTTTTCTGGCCTCCTTAAAGATAAACCGCACCATTTCGCAGGCACGAAATGCCCGAGCCTTGTTCTCTGACCAGCGAGTCAGTGGTGTCGAGAGAGCTCTGTGCCCGACCGCAGCCATGCTCGGGCACATACACATGCGTGTGCATGTAGCGTGTTTACGTGCAGTTATAAGTATAGAGACGCTGCCTACGTCCGCTTCTCCTTTCAGGCCTGGACATGTTCCTGAAATTCGCCACCGTTCTTTGCAAAAAAGAGACTGCTTATTGGCGAGTGGGCTTTCCGAGAACTGGGTCATCTCGCTGCCCCCCAGCTTCGGTCGGGAGTGGCTTGGGCTGCATTTGATCTGGGTCTGCGCCCCAAAGCCCCAGGCGCTACCTGGCCAGCTACAGGCGTCTCCTGCCGGGGCTGGGCTGGGCTGGGCTGAGCCGCCGCGGGGTGACTGCGGCCAGCCCCGGGCTCCCCAACACACACCCACCTCCGCCGAAATGGGACTGGTCGGTTCGAGAGGAGAGAACGCTAGCGGTCGGGGGCGGGTGGGGCGCTGGTCTGGCGAGCTGGGAAGGTGGGGAGGAACCTCCGTGCGCAGTCGGTCATTCTGTGTGCGCGGCGGCTGGACACAGGTCCTGCAGCGGCTCGGGAGAGGGTGGCGCTGGACCCCAGATCTGGAGCGGGTAGGCCGCAGGCCCCCGGCCCGCGCCGCCCGCGAGGCAGCGCCGCAGGGGCTGGGCACCTGCGCCCAGGTTTCCGCTCCAGGGCGTTCACGGTCGCGCTCGCGGCAAAGCCGAGGCCCTGCCCTGCCCTGGAGGAAAGGACATAGCCCGACACACCGCTTTGCACAAGCGTGCGTGGGGGCCGGATGAGCGCACCTCCACCATATTCTTTTTGTCTTCCCCCCACCTCCTGCCTGCGTTTTGAAAATCGCGAACGAGGCGTTTCAGTGCCATCTAGTGGGGGAGGGGCGTGCCGCGCTGTGGGCCCCCGGATCCTGCAAAGGATTTGCTCCGGGCGGCGGGGCCCGAGGGTGCCCGCGCCAGCGCCTCCGGCCACAGCGCCCCCTTGCCTCCCTCGCCCCCTCCTCCTCGTCAGTTCCCTTGGAAGCGTGAACACTTGCAGAGATGCAATCTTCCAGTGCGGCCCACAGGAGGCCTGAGGACAGGGAGCAGGCGAGGGGAAAGTCCAGGCTCAGCCAGCCTTGACCTTCGGCCTCCTGGTTCCCGACTGCCCCTGGAGCCTGGGCGCCCAGGCGCTGCCCGTCACGACCAGCGTTGTCCTCATCTCGTCTCCTTCTTCCGCCCCTTTCTTGCTCTCGCTTTTTAACTTCCCCCAGCCTCTCCCCTAGTCCTGCTTGCCTGGCGCCCCACGGTCCCCAGCGGTCCTGGCTGGAAAGAGACGCTCAGAGGCTACAGTGGGGCCTCTCTTTTCTGAGCATCTCTTGAGATATTTTTTTATTGATGGAATTTTTTAAAAAGTATGCAAGATGTTGACTTGCGGCCTCTTCTGAGATGGGATTATTGGGAACAGCCCTATACCAACTGGGGATGATTCTGGCCCTTGGGGCTAGATGCTGGCTTCTCTCTCTAGACCGTGTGAATGCGTGACTACATTTTTGCAATGAGTGGTCTAGGTTTGTTCCTTCCACCCTGTTAGCCACAGACAGCATCACCGTGTTTCCAGTGTATCCTTGCCCGCCGGCACCAACCCGGTCCTAAGGTCACACAATGTCAAAACTGAAGGTGCCTCAGAGTCACCCACAATAATGCATGAATGTGCCCCAGAGCATTTCCCAAAAAGCGAACGACCAGCTTCTGCTTACGCATGGGAGTGACGGGGAAACCTGTCCACAAGCAGCCCGCCCTGCTGCTGGGTGGTGCACGTGGGCAGAGGGGTCTTCCTCACTCCACGCCTTCCCTCACGTCCTGTAACTCTCGCCCACTGGCCTTTGCTTGGCTTTCCGAAGATGCACACATGATACCCGATTCCTCCTCATACTTGACGTCAGCTGTCCTCGTCGTCCCCCCCCCCCCCACCGAGCCCTGATTCCTCCAGGCTAAATGTCCCTTTTTCTTTCCTCCCTCGGCGGTTCTTCCCTGGTCTCTGAAACTCCCAACTGTCAGTACTCCCACCAGGCAATGTACCCGCCCACCCCACCATTTACAGTCACATGAACCTGTGAAGAAGACAATGCAATCGGTCTGTTGGGTTTCTGCATGACCTAAGTAGAATTCTAATTCTGCTTCCTCGTGTGGGGGCCCCCAAGCCACCCCCTTCCCATGGCATCCTAGGACCATGGCCCCAGGTGCCACTAGGACCCTTGGTTGGATGCTCATGAGAGGTGCATTCTGGAATTTGGGATTCCACCCCCCCACCCTGATGCACACACACACACACACACACACACACACGCACCCCTGCCTCTTTCTAAAGCAGTGTCCACATGCTGCAAGCTTTCTCTAAGGTCACCAAGGGAGGCCGAGAAAATCATTCAAAGGTCTCCGTTTCCTGCGAGACAGCTCACCTGACAGCAGGCAGACAGACATTTTCCCACAATCTCCTCGCCCATTCGGTCTTCATTCACCATGTATGCTGCTCTGCTCCCTGTCTGAATCTAAAGAACCCTTTCTTTGACATTGTCAATTGGAAGCAAAATAAAAGTTGATGACATTTGCTTTCTCTTTGCCAGGATCAATATTACACCCTTTTCCCAGAGAAAAACCGCCCACATATACTTATTCCAATTTTCATAATTAACTTGGCCCAGTTTGGAAATTATCTGGAACCCAGAAGTCTGTGACACACCAGCATTTACACCGGAACAGGTCTCCTTTCCTGTGCAATTCCTCCTTCTGAATCAGCCCAGTCATGCTGATTGTTGTTATCTGTGCTCCTTTGCTGCCTCATTAGGGTCAGGATAGCAAAAGGCATTTTCCCCTCATCCGGGGCATCTCGGTCTCCCTGGCTTTTATCTCCTTCCTCCGCCCTCCATTGTGTGAAGCTGAAATTCTACACTTGCCCTTGATTCACAAAGCCCACAGCAGTTCCATCTTGCCTGTACCATAAAGCTCAGGCCCTCCCACCTCTCCAGACCCCGCACGAGGCTTCCGTGGATCCGCTATGGCTGACCCCGTACCCTCCCAGACCAACCCTCTGCACGTGCTTTGGAAAGCCTCACGTTGGCATCAGTCCTGTGTCCCATAAGAGATTAAGCAGCTCTGCTTTTTAAGTCCTTACAATTACAGGTGCCTCACATCAATAGGCCAAGTAAATAACACCTGTTCACCTCGACAGACGCGGAAGAGACAACCAGTTAAACCCAACAAGTATTCTTGATAAAGGCTCTTCCTACCCTCGGAATGGTTTAAAATGAGTAGGATCATCTCCTGCCTGGAGAAGTGCTTCAAACTAGTAGGAATGAGACAAACACCGCAACAGAGAAACGGGGAACATTTATGAAGAGACAGTTTACCCAAGTGATTCAAGTGGAAAATGAACATGAGAAATTCAACCTCGTTAGGAATCTGGGGAATACGAATTTTGAGAGACACTTTTACCATCAGGCCGGGGAGGGGTGCAGAATGCACATGTCAGTGTCGAGTGTTGACTAGGGCCTGCTCCGCACTTCTGATAGGATGGCGCACTGACACAGCCGTGCTGCAGGGCCATGCAGAGCGGTTGTTAAGATGAAAAAGACGTGTTTCTCCTCCCAAGCAGGTGTGCGCAGGGCTGCAGCCCGCAGGAAGCAAGCAGAAGCCCTGTAGTGTGCCTCCCGGGGCTTCTGTAGCCAAGCACCACCCACAAGGTGTCCTCACATCACAAACGCATTCTCTCGCAGCTCTGGGAGCTGGCAGGACCACACCCCTCTGAAGCCTGCGGGAGAGACCACTTCCTCGCCTGTCTACCTCCCGGAGTGTGCACAACCCTGGCCGGGCTGCTCCTCGTATGCTACCTCGCGGCAGTCTGCTCCTGCCCTCCGCGACTGCCTTCCCGGTGTGCTTTCTCGTCATCACCATCCCTGTGCGTGACACCAGCCACAGAGGATGTGGGCCTGCCCTACACCAGTGCGACCCAGCTAGCTCCATCTACCATGATGGGATTTCTAAATGAGGTCTGAGATACTGGGGACTGGTCTCTTTTCGGGGACATTAGTCAACCCATAACCCTACCTTCTGTGTGGGAAAGGGAGCATGGGAGAATATACGGTATCTGCTTTCCGGGGCAAAATGAAAAGGTGTTGAAGGGACCAAGAAGCCAAGAAAGCATCAGGGAGTCACTTTCGCCTTGGGCTGAAGGTTCAACGTTTGATGATCCCAGGACAAGCATACACATGGAGCCCACATACCATATTGTAAGTGTTCAAAAATTATAAATCAAGAGACAAAGTGTTGAAATTATGCATTCTAACCTTCTGCCTTACAGACATTTGTGAAAGCAAAATTTTGAGGATATGTGTCGTCTCCCCTTGTATGAACAAAAGTTGGCAAAGTATCAGTTAATTACCATTGCTCTGTGTGGACGGACCAACAGCGTTCAAATGAGCAATAAAATAAAGGCATCCATAGCAACAGCTTATATGCATTTCATAAAATTTGTTTTTCTTAACTCTCACCTCAGAAAATCATTAATTGTATTGTTTATAATCAAGAATTTTCACTTAACATACTTTATTGATGTAATGTCAAACATTTTTATTGTAGGTTTTAGATTTTTTTAATATTTATTTATTTATTTATTCTAAATTCAGAGAGTTACATAGAGAGAAGAGAGGGAGAGAGAGAGAGGGAGAGAGAGAGGTCTTCCATTTGATGGTTCACTCCCCAATTGGCCGCAACAGCAGGAGCTGCGCCGATCCGAAGCCAGGAGCCAGGAGCTTCTTCCAGGTCTCCCACATGGGTGCAGGGGCCCAAGGACTTGGGCCATCTTCTACTGCTTTCCCAGGCCATAGCAGAGAGCTGGATCAGAAGTGAGCAGCCGGGACTAGAACCGGCGCCCATATGGGATGCTGGTACTTCAGGCCAGAGCATTAACCTGCTGTGCCACAGAGCCAGCCCCTAGATTTTTTTCTTTTTTTAAAAAAAGATTTGCTTATTTGTTTGAGAGGTACAGTTGGAGAATGAGAGATCTTCTGTCTGCTGGTTCACACCCCGAATGGTTGCAACAGCCAGGGCTGGGCCAGGCCAAAGCCAGGGACCAGAAACTCTTACCGGGTCTCCACTTGGGTGGCGAGGCCCAAGCACCCTCCGCTGCCTTCCTGGGCGTGTCAGCAGGAAGTGAAGCAACTGGGACTTGAACCAGTGCCCATATAGATGCCGGCATCTCGGACAATGGCTGAATCCACCACACCACAACACCAGCCCCAGGCTCCAGATAATTTTTAATATAATTTTAGTTTGGAGAGACCTCACTCTACGAGGCAAGAACACTCTTGTTGGAAGTGTCAGTAAAATCCTAAAGCAATACTTACATTTGGACCTTACACACTCTGTTACG